CACGATGTAAGTCTGCCTGTACCCACACTACCTGCAACCTGTATGTTTGTCTGTACCCACACCACCGGCAACTTGTATGTCTGTCTGTACCCACACCACAGGCAACTTGTATGTCTGTCTGTACCCACACCACCGGCAACTTGTATGTCTGCCTATACCCACACTATCTGCCACTGTATGTCTGTCTGTACCCACACCACCGGCAACTTGTATGTATGTCTGTACCCACACCACCGGCAACTTGTATGTCTGTCTGTACCCACACCACCGGCAACTTGTATCTATGTCTGTACCCACACCACAGGCAACTTGTATGTCTGTCTGTACCCACACCACCGGCAACTTGTATGTCGGTACCCACACCAACAGCAACTTGTCCGTCTGTACCCACACCACAGGCAACTTGTCCGTCTGTACCCACACCACCGGCAACTTGTATGTCTGTCTGTACCCACACCACCGGCAACTTGTATGTCTGTCTGTACCCACACCACCGGCAACTTGTATGTCTGTCTGTACCCACACCACCGGCAACTTGTATGTCTGTCTGTACCCACACCACCGGCAACTTGTATGTCTGTCTGTACCCACACCACCGGCAACTTGTATCTATGTCTGTACCCACACCACCGGCAACTTGTATGTCTGTCTGTACCCACACCACCGGCAACTTGTCTCTCTGTACCCACACCACAGGCAACTTGTATGTCTGTCTGTACCCACACTACCGGCGACTTGTATGTATGTCTGTACCCACACCACCGGCAACTTGTATGTCTGTCTGTACCCACACCACGGGCAACTTGTATCTATGTCTGTACCCACACCAACAGCAACTTGTATGTCTGTCTGTACCCACACCACCGGCAACTTGTATGTCTGTACCCACACTATCTGCCACTGTATGTCTGTCTGTACCCACACTACCGGCAACTTGTATGTCTGTCTGTACCCACACCACCGGCAACTTGTATGTCTGTCTGTACCCACACCACCGGCAACTTGTATGTCTGTCTGTACCCACACCACGGGCAACTTGTATCTATGTCTGTACCCACACCAACAGCAACTTGTATGTCTGTCTGTACCCACACCACCGGCAACTTGTATGTCTGTCTGTACCCACACCACCGGCAACTTGTATGTCTGTCTGTACCCACACCACGGGCAACTTGTATCTATGTCTGTACCCACACCAACAGCAACTTGTATGTCTGTCTGTACCCACACCAACAGCAACTTGTATGTCTGTCTGTACCCACACCACCGGCAACTTGTATGTCTGTACCCACACTATCTGCCACTGTATGTCTGTCTGTACCCACACTACCGGCAACTTGTATGTCTGTCTGTACCCACACCACCGGCAACTTGTATGTCTGTCTGTACCCAGACCACCGGCAACTTGTATGTCTGTCTGTACCCAGACCACCGGCAACTTGTATGTCTGTCTGTACACACACCACCGGCAACTTGTATGTCTGCCTGTACCCACACCACCGGCAACTTGTCTGTCTGTCTGTACCCACACCACCGGCAACTTGTATGTCTGTCTGTACCCACACCACCGGCAACTTGTATGTCTGTCTGTACCCACACCACCGGCAACTTGTCTGTCTGTACCCACACCACCGGCAACTTGTCTGTCTGTCTGTACCCACACCACCGGCAACTTGTATGTCTGTCTGTACCCACACCACCGGCAACTTGTATGTCTGTCTGTACCCACACCACCGGCAACTTGTATGTCTGTCTGTACCCACACCACCGGCAACTTGTATGTCTGTCTGTACCCAGACCACCGGCAACTTGTATGTCTGTCTGTACACACACCACCGGCAACTTGTATGTCTGTCTGTACCCACACCACCGGCAACTTGTATGTCTGTCTGTACCCACACCACCGGCAACTTGTCTGTCTGTCTGTACCCACACCACCGGCAACTTGTATGTCTGTCTGTACCCACACCACCGGCAACTTGTATGTCTGTCTGTACCCACACCACCGGCAACTTGTCTGTCTGTACCCACACCACCGGCAACTTGTCTGTCTGTCTGTACACACACCACCGGCAACTTGTATGTCTGCCTGTACCCACACCACCGGCAACTAGTATGTCTGTCTGTACCCACACTACCGGAAACTATTAGCCCATATATATGTACATGTCCTAACACCCTTTCCAACAGCCCATACATCCATCGGTAATACTTACCTCGTGTTTTTACACGTCTAGTAACTTTCATCACCAAATACAACTCACCCACATAAACATCTTATGCTAATGTTAGAAGTTGGCTTAATCTTTACTTTACCCACAACCCAAATCTTGAACCTGACTCCAAATTTAACCTTCACCATAATACTTACTTCTATATGAAATTTTATCAACCTAGCTGTAACGGTGCTCAAGTTATCGTGTTCACAGACACACATAAACACACACATACACACAGAGAGATAGAGAGAGAGACATACGGACAAGATTGCAAAACTATGTTTTTGTTTTTTTTGACTCAAGGTGGTGTAAAACGTCGAGATTTGTCAAAATCGCGATTTTTTGTCTTTGCATGATTACAATACTTTCTCTATACTCTGTATACGAGAAAGTAAAAACAAAAAAATAGTGTAAATACAATGGCAAGGGTAATAGACTTAGTGTATAAGTATAATTTTTATGAAATGTTTATCATGTTATTTATGTAGAAAATTTCTCATCCTATTGACATTATGGTTTTTATTCATCAATTGATAGGTAACTGTAAACGTAGATACATTCCTTTGGAACTTACGGCTCCCAACTTCAGTTGAAAACACAGCCTAGTTTTACACACACTACAAAAAACTAAATCTATTTCCACGCATTATCAGAATTAAAAATCTACTTTCAATCTTCATAAGATAAAAAAATCTACTTTCGATCATCTTCAAAAAAAAAAAAAAAACTACATTCGAGTTTCGTCAGAAAAAAAAATCTACTTTTATATATCATCAGGAAAATAAATCTGCTTTCATATATCATCAGGAAAAAAACAACCTACTTTCACATATCATCAGGAAAAAATCTACTTTCATATATCATCAGGAAAAATCTACTTTCACGTATCATCAGGAAAAAATCTACTTTCATATATCATCTGTTTAAAAAATCGCTTTCATCTATCATCAGGGAAAAAAAACTAGTTCCACAAACAAAAAAATATCGAGTTTCCCTACATCATATGAAATTTAAAAATCGTGTCCGTAAATAATAATAAAAAAAATAAATTCCATAAAATCATCAAACATAAAAAGCACCCAATCCCTCATATAATCGTGTACACCTACGTCACATCACAGCCTCATTTAGACGCACGGATATTTTATTTATACATTTCTTAGCCAAAATTTTCTTATAATTAACGATGAAAAAAAAAACCGTCATTGAAATTTATTTTCTCCCTGGCCAAGATGTAATTACTCGGCGAAGACGTCGAACGTGTTTTTATATCGCCATGTCATTTTCACCGTAATCGATTCCGATGTTTCCCCTTTTAAAATTTGATTACTCGACATCGTCTTATTTATATCGAGTCTTGGTCGGGTAACCGTCAATATTTGGGTGCATCTAACGCCCCTTTTTTGTGATTTTATTTAATCAGTGTCCAAGGTGATTATTCACGGTAAGACAATTAATTATATTAATTGAACTCCCGGGCCACTTTAGGATAAGGGTTAAGAATCTCAAAATGGCAGGTGACTTTAAAAAAACAGAGTTTATTTTGTGGTACTTACCCCAGACGTATTTGACATTTTATGAGATTACGGTGTATTATGGGTAGACTTGAGGTAAATGGGTTATGAGTAACAAGAAATAGATTTATTATAGAGTGCAAGGAAGAGTTTGGTGTAGTTTTATCTTGATGGAAGCTTAAAATCGGCGTAAAAATGTAAAAAAAAAAGATGGGAATTTAGATAAAAAAAAAACTTTAAAAAAAAAGAACTTTACATATAAGTCACTTGATATGTCTTTGTAGAGGTAATCTAAATTTTTTTGGTTCCGTAGTTAGTTTTTAATTTCAACACCTTTTTGTTTTGTGACCGATAGCGTCTTGTCAGGAAAGAAAGGTTGTTGGGTTATGGTTCGTGGGTGTAGATTTCAAAGAAAGATTTTTATCAAACTGATTTCAATGCCCTACTAATATTGCTTTATTTTTTTAAAGTAAAAAAAACATCGTTTGGGGGTGGGGGATGGTTTGAAAAAAAAGCATGTTTCTCTTGTACAACTGATTCAAGTAGAGATAATTGCCAGATAATTCAATGGTATGTTAAAAATATATGACTCAACGTCTTTTCTATGTTTGTTTGTGTGTGTGTGTGTGTGTGTGTGTGTGTGTGTGTGTGTGTGTGTGTGTGTGTGTGTGTGTGTGTGTGTGTGTGTGTGTGTGTGTGTGTGTGTGTGTGTGTGTGTGGAGTTTGATTTTAAAAGTTTTAAAAATAGATTAAGTATAAATAGAGATTGAATATTTTAAAAAAAATATATTTTTAACACTAGTTAAAAGTGAAAAATATAAATTAAGTTTTAAAAACAAACAAAACAAGTTAAACTTACTCGACTCAAATGATATATAAAAACTAATACGATTGAACATAATTAAATAAAACAAACTATATTTTTAAAAAAATTAAATACACGATATACAACTAGATAACTCATCTTATAGAGTAGAGTTGATCTTCATTTATTTTAGACGGTTAATCAGCTCAACTATTATAAAATCAATCACAAGTTATATTTTAAAATAAAGATGCTTAAACTAGCAATACGCTTGCTGCAAGACAAATCGTTTTGTAAAACCGTCATCCCACCCGAAAAGACCAAAATACACATAAAGGCTTTATAGTCACGTGTTAAGGTCTAGACTAACCTCACAAGATTTTCAACATAAACATGGACGCAGATAACTGGAGAGGGGTGGGGGGGGGGGGGAGAAAGACCTATCTCCTAAAATGTATCGTAGTTTTATACTTAGACTAGTGTTTCTTTTCCCATTACGGACACAAATTTAAAATGTCTTGGTAATTTTATTTTTCCATTGAGAGTTATTTCCCTTACATGTTATACTTTCTTTCCATGTGTTTGATTATCAGATGCGCCTGTTGTATAAATGTATAAGCCTCACTTTGCCTTCTCTTCAGATAAAAAATTTCCTTAGAGATAGCCTTGTTCTTCGGGTCCCTGTAGTAACAAAATGTTTTTATAAGATGTTATTTTGAATTACAATGACTGTTTGTGTGCTTGCATGTTCAGTTATGGGTTTGTAGTAAATCACGCTGCTCGATTTTTTTTTTAAATTTTCCAGGAATATTCATCTCCGATAACAATGAAAGAATCTTTATTTTTAATTTAATTAGCAATTACATTTATTAAAATTTAAACATAATTAACAATTTTAACGTTTTAAACATGTTTCTTAATTAAAGCATGATTGAACTCAATAATAGAAGGAGAGTTAACGAGATTACAGTCTAGCGATGGTTCGATGGCAGTTGGTTGCGGTTGGCTTTTATTCTTGCCTGAGAGTCGACCACTAACAAGGGGGTAGATTATTGTTTCTTAAAGATCGCAGGCTACTGGTCGGGTTTTATAGCTAACATTTTTTAGCCGTAGTCTATGTGGTGTCTAATTCATATAATTTAGAATGAATGACTTAAAATTTGAAAATAAAACAAATGAAAACACCTTAAGTTTTTAAATGCACTTGGAAAAAAACAATATATATATATATATATATATATATATATATATATATATATATATATATATATATATATATATATATATATATATATATATATATATAAATTATATATATATTAATTATATATATATATATATATATATATATATATATATATATATATATATATATATATATATATATGTATATATATATATATATATATATATATATTTATATATATATATATATATATATATATATATATATATAGTGTTTGTGTGATTGTGTGTGCGTGATTGGTGAAATATTTCCTATAATAATACCGACTCACGTGTGCACGTGCATGAACGCGAGTGACGTATTTACCTTGCGAGCAGCTTCTCGTAACGCGCCAGCTCGGCCTTGCCACTGAGGATCTCCTTCTGGAGATCTTGTATTCTCCCCCTCAGCCTCTCTAGACTGACCTCTGGGTCCGGATAGTCTGAGCGGGAAAAAAAGATCTGTCTCTGCTGGACATAGGACGCTGCCAGATTAAGCCCCACCCTCGGGCGGATGGCCTGGTACATCTTGTTCGCCTGGGTAACAGCTTGACGTAGTAAAGACATTCCGCAAGCGAAGCTAGGAACTCTGGAAGTCAAGAAATTTAGTTTTGTTATCGATTGAAAAAAGCACCGTGATACATTGTCTAATTGCACGCAGTGTTTCTTTCAGGCATCTCTTCGGGTGAACTCTGCTCCCCCCCCCCGAAGAGAGTCTACCCCCCCCCCCCTCCCCTGCTCGAGCGAAATGGAATTTATAGAGAAACTATATACTTATAACAGTGTCCGCTTCCCCCCGTCCCCCGCGCCGGGTCCAAGTCAGGAGAACGCCCCTGAGTCCATCCAGTTCTGATGGATACCTAACTCATGTTAGGGTAAGTAAAGATAGTTGGGCAAAGTGCTGACCACACCTTCCCTTCACATGCCAGGGTCAAGAAACATATGAACTCTACTTCATCTGCCCAATGGATTCTTTACTAACTTCCTAATGTGTAAACAATTAAGGAAAAAACAACAACACAGTATTGATTTTATTATCCCTGTCTTAATGATACGGCAGATACAATAAGCGTTCGAGAAAGAACGTGATATTAAATCGTGATGTGGTTTGCATTGATTAGGAAAATTGCTCTCTAACCTATACAAATTTAGATCACGGAGTGTCTATTCCCAGTTAATTGGAAATCAGCATGCATTAAGCGTAATTATGACTATTCCGAGTCGACTTTAGATCTATACTAATCTCAGACAAACACAGGGGGAGTGTGGAGAAATTTTAAACTGACCTCTATTGAAGAACTTCAAGTCAGGGATAAACAATGAAGTTTCATTGAACGAAAGTTCACTCTTCTAGTAATCAAAGACTGTGCTATTTAGTGCTTAAACTGTCAATGCTGCGCAATGTAAAGATGATATTTTTATAGGGGCGGATTATATAGTGAGCGAAGTATCATTCACAGTTATACCAAGAACAACTTGCATTTTTAATCTAGTTTTATTTTTATTCTTCTTGTTTTTATCTACTGTCCGCAACGTCAAATATGTTATTTTCTATGAGTAGGCCTACCCAAATGTGACAAAGTGTTAATTAATACAATCAGTTCACATTGCTGGAGGTACAATCAGTACAAGGCAATGGTGATACAATCAGTGCACAGAACTGGGGATACAATCGATTCATAGAACTGGTGATACAATCAGTTCAAGGCATTGATGATACAATCAGTTTACATTGCTGGTGATACAATCAGTTCAAGGCACTGGTGATACAATCAGTTTACATTGCTGGTGATACAATTAGTTCGAATTGCAGGTGATGAAATCAGTTCAACGCACTGGTGATACAATCAGTTCAAGACACTGGTGGTACAATATGTTTACATAACTGGTGATACAATCAGTTCAATGCATTGGTGATACAATCAGTTCAAGGCACTGGTGGTACAATATGTTTACATAACGGTGATACAATCAGTTCATAAAACTGGTGATACAATCAGTTTACTGTGCTATATACAATCGGTTCTCATTGCTGGTGATACAAACTATTCACTGAACTGGTGATGCAATCAGTTCAATGCACTGGTAATACAGTCAGTTCAATGCACTGGTGATACAAGTGGTTCATAGCGCTTGTAATACAAGTCTTAGCATTGCCTACCACTGTGTAACACAGCATCAACACGACCCGCGATCTCACACACCGCCGCAAAATTTAAAAATCGCCAACAACAGCAGAGGCGTAGCGACCCTTCCCGGCACCCGGTGACAAACTTTCGATTTGCACCCCCAACCCCCCCCCCCTCGAACTTTTCATTTGCACCCCCCCCCCCTCAAACTTTCCATTTGGCGCCCCTATTGAAGACAATGCAATCTGAAATTAAATTTGACTTAGTTGGATGCCTAATTAATTTTTTATGCATTGTATTCATGTCTTGACCCACGTACCAATTATGAACCGTATCTGTCAGTTAGAAGTGTCCGAATTTTCGCTCCGGCGTTTCGATCTAGGGAGACATACAGACAGAGGAAGTGAGTGTAATAAAAGGTTGTAAAAAGAAAAGAAAAATCTTCAGGTATAAGTCACTTGATATGTCTTTGTAGAGGTAGTGTAAATTTTTTTTGGTCCTGTGGTTAGTTTTTAATTTCAACGCCTTACGTTTCTTGTAACCGTCTTGTCAGGAAAGGAAGGTTGTTGGGTTATGGTTCGCAGGTGTAGATTTCAAAGAAAGATTTTTATCAAACTGATTTCAATGCCCTACTAAACAGTGGCGTAGCCAGGATCGTCTCAAGGGGGGGGGGTCCAATTTTTACCCGGGGACAAACTTTCGATTTGCACCCCCCCCTCCCCTCAAACTTTCGATTTGCACCCCCCCCTCAAACTTTCGATTTGCACCCCCCCTCATACTTTATATATGTAACGAGACTATTTGCCTGTAGTGCCAAATGTTAACGAGTTCTGCTCGACAACGCCAAATGTTACCGAGTCTAACCACTCATTCTACACAACATCGACCACAGTATAGATACTCGAAGATGCAGGTTCGCTATTGATCCTTTTATTACATGAATCAAAGACATGCTTCACAATAATATAATGAATCAAAAGGAATGCTTCACAATAATAGTCTGAATCAACTGACCCCCAACAGTCCTCACTAGTCTTCACATAACTGAATGCACATGTCTATCGTCCTTCTTAACACAATACGGCTAACCCGTTCAATAACCAACTTGATACTGCCACACAGACTGACTGATCGAGAGAGAGAGCTCAGCCGTCGCCTTCCTATATATCCCCTTCGTATTCGTAATCGTATTCGGTTCTATCATAATCGTAATCGTAATCGATTCTAATCGTTGCATCAGAATGTTAATTACGCCGCTTCTGTCGTACAGTCCGATTTAATAAGCCATCTGCATCCTGTCACATCAAAGTTGACAGACCGTATTGCGTTCTTATCGTATCGCTTCCCAAGATACTACGCCTTGGCTTTCTGATCGTTATCAGCCAACACCTGCGTTATTACATCAGTCGTGTCAAAGTTGACAGCGCTGTACTGCGTTCTTATATCTCTGGTAACTTCCCCTAGTTACATCCACCCCTGCCTTTTTTGTGTGTTATCAACCACAAACAACGCTTGGCAGGTGCAGTCCTTCAAAGTTAATCGCACCACCGTAAAAAAATTTTTATTGTTCCACTCACTGCCAATGTCGTCACATTCGTATAAGATTGACAGTTATCCCTATTTCACATATCGAATGTGTCTACATCATCTTCCTCAGACACAAAACAGTTCTAGAATTCACATCCACCCTTTTTCGTTTGGTGCCTTCACCAGTTCGCTTTTATGACTTTTTGAACAGTCTGTTCTCATACCAGTGCGACCATGAAAGAATTGATGGTTGCTGACAAAAAATTTCGTATTCTTTCTGTTTCTCAAACTTCTCCGCGGACCACTTATCTGATGGTCTACTGTCTCTCTGCTTCTGGAAGGACCGGGATCCTCCTTGTTGCCGGTATCCTCCCCTTGTGTATCGCTGTTGCGCTGTTGATGGTGACATGGTTCCGGGATGGGTATGTGAATTTCCGTTATAGTTTCCGGTTCTCTAATTGTCTTAGGTTTCCTTGTGTGTAACTGCTCTTCCTGACTATGACAATATTTCTTTAATTGAGCAATATTCGCCCACCGATCCGGTTTGGTGTGATCGATGGGTCTTATCTTAAAGGGGCCACCTGCTACTTTAGGCATCTCCACGACTTGCCATATCTCCTGTCCCCAGAGGTCGTGGATTTTGTTTCTGCCTAACGGGTGGCTACGCAGTAATACCCTGTCGTTCAGTTTGAGTGGCGGGTCCTTTGTCTGTACCGGCGGTTCCCTTCGCCGTGCTTCATGTTCTAGTCTTTCCTGTACTACCCTGTACATTTCTCTAATTCGTCTCATATGTTCATTCACATATTCCAGTGCAGTGTATGAGCCAGTCATACTCTCCTTTTTTCCTAGGAACAAGTCAAGAGGGAGTCGAGCCTCCCGTCCGAACAGCAACATGTGTGGCGAAAAGCCGGTTGTGGCATGGGGGGTGCAGTTGTATAGATATACCAACTCTGGGAGAAAATCAGGCCAACGTTTTTTCTGTTCAGGTTCTAGGGTACGCAGCAAATCATGCATGCTGCGGTTGAACCGCTCGCACTGTCCGTTTCCTTTCGGATTAAATGTGGTTGTTCTAGATTTGTTGATCCCGTAGTGGCTGCACAGTTGGTTAATTACTTCTGACTCGAAGGCCCTTCCTTGGTCAGAGTGTAATTGTCTTGGTATGCCATATTTGATGAACCAATGTTCTATTAAGACCTTTGCCACTGTTTTGGCCGTCTGATCTCGTGTGGGCACCGCAACAGTCCATTTGGTGAATACATCAGTCATTACCAACACATGTTCCGTCCCATCCGATGATTGCTCCAACGACGTAAAGTCCATAGCCACAATCTCTAGTGGTTTTGTCGCTAGTAGGTGTCCTGATGGCTGTCTCATTTTGACAACTGGCATTTTCGCATGCTGACACCTAACACAAGCCTCACAATGGCGTTTGACCTCCATCTCCACATTGGGCCAGTAACACCGCCGTCGTAATATTTTGTGCGTCCTGTCCTGACCCTGGTGTCCTGCCCTGTCATGTGCCAACCTTAGCACTTCTTCTCGTAACTGTCCAGGCACCACCACCTGGTGTATTGTCCCATCAATTTGGTCATGAATTCTCCGCATGAGAACACCATCCTTTATACTGAGACGGTCCCACTGACTCAGTAGTTTCTTTGTTTCTCGACCAAACTGTTCTCTTTCCCTTTTTCCTGGGAATTTTTGTTCCTGGACGTATTTCAATAGCGGCTGTAACCCGCTATCCGTTCTCTGGGCATCTCTTATCTCTTTATTATTAAGGCAATTAAAATCACCGATGTCCAAATGTCCGGGCTCTGTGGAAATGTGCTCCACCCCGGTCTGCCCTTTTTGCATCACTTGCACCCTGTGAGGGATATCTGTTGACGCTCTGACCTCACATATTCCTGTCAGCGTTTCTTCCTCATCGCCCGGTCTCTCGTAAGGATTCCTTGATAAGGCGTCCGCATTGCCATTGGACCGCCCCGGGCGATATTTTATCTCTAGGTCAAAGAGTGCCAATTCTGCTGCCCATCGCTGTTCGATGGATCCCAACTTTGCTGTCTTTAGGTGACTCAAGGGGTTATTGTCAGTGTATACCACACATTTAGCACCTAATAAATAGTCCCTGAATTTTTCAGTCACAGCCCATTTTAATGTCAAAAGTTCTAGTTTCATGGCGCTGTAATTTGTCATGTTCTTCTCTGATTCCTTCAGAGCTCGACTGGCATACGCAATAACCCTGAAACCTTGCTCTTGTTGTTGTGATAGCACAGCTCCCAGACCTTTAGAGCTGGCGTCAATTTCTAGCCGAAATGGCTTGTCAAAGTCTGCGTATCCTAATATCGGCGCCTCTGTCAAAGCCTTTTTCAATAGCTTAAACGAGTTCAGGCATTCCTCAGTCCATAATTCACCTATCAGTTGTGTTTTACCTTTCTTTTTCTCCTTACTGTGTTTCTTTGTCATTTTGTTTCTTAAGTCATGCAACGGTGCGGCAATTTTTGCAAAACCAGGTACAAAGTTTCTATTTTCTTCTTCAGATAACAGACACTCTAAAGATGAACATTTCTCCTGTGCTTTTAATTTGCATGAACTTTCCCTATCCAGTTTCTTGGTTAACCTTGAGATCTCATTATTAAGTCTACCAGTTTCTTCCTTATCATCATTTTTCTCTGCCAACAAATTGTTC